TCTTGGACACGGACTACCTTCCTAAGGCTTTTTAGAAAGAAAGGGCCACAAAGTGGCTGAAGACAAAATTCAGCTAAGCTGTGTGTCTGATATCTGGGTCACTGTACTTCGGCTGCATGTAAAACTATCTTCACAGACCAAGGCTCCCCTGTTTGACATTTTCCCCTCCCTGAAAGAAGAGGACAACAGATAGGCATTTGGGGTCTTGGAGGATGTTGTAGGGTGTGGCTAGAACTACATTCTCCTGATTGCCTCACCCCTCTGTGCCATGACTAAGGAGGCCTCCCCAGATGCGGGAATCTGGGGTCCCCTATCCAAAGATGCTTTTGAGAACCTTAAGGGCTCTCTCTCCACTTTCACTTCCCACACTTACACTGACCAGTTACTCCCTGCCTTTTTCTTTGTGCATGAACACAAGGGTCATGCCCTCAGAAGCTTATTGGTCACCAAAGATCTCAGCCCCGTGGCTATGGCATAATCCCCCTTGCCCGTGAGCCATGGCTACAACCACCAAGCTTGTCCCAGCTGCCTCTGATTTAGCATTAGGTCATCTGCTGTACAGACCCTACTGCTTGATGGAAACACAGTACTTTTCTGCATCTTGACTTACCTCTCATGAATCTTACTACTCCCCCCCTCACATCGCTGTATGTCACTGTCAAAACCCTGTCACCTTGCTTCCCTTACCCACTAATGGGATGCCCCACCATTGTGTCCCTAACACTAGTCCACGATCCTGTCTTAGGCTAGATTCATCAGAACCCCCCATACACACTGACCTCACTCTTCATGTCAATGGCTCCAACCTCTGAAAGGAGGATGGAGCCTTCCAGGGTGGATACGCCACCACTGATCAACACAAACCTCTAGAATATTGAGCCCTGCCAAATGTCAAATCAGCCCTGGTTGCTGAGTTAATTGCTCTTATTCGGGCTTCCGGTAAGAGCAGAAGGAATAAAGGTTAACATATGTACTGAAGCTGCTACACCTTTGGGGTAGAACGTGACTTGGGCACGTAAAACAGAGAGGATTCTGACAGCAGCCAGTTCCCCCAGTCAAAAACAGACCCCAAATCGCAGAACTTCTAGAGGCACTGTTATTAGCCCCGTAGACTACTATGGTAAAAACTGAGGGACACGGCACATCAAATTCAGACGTGACCTAAAGAAACAGACTGACTGGTAAGTGCGCTACATCAGCAGACCCCTCCCTGCCCACCCCAGAAATCCAAGGGTTTCCAAGCCTTGGGACTACACCCTTGCATCCCGCTTTCAGGGCCTAGACCCCTGGTGGGATTATTCACCTGCCCCTGAGAGAGCACTATTTTAGGACGACTCCTCAGGCAATCATAAAAGAAATCCACATGGCGCAAATGGTAGCTTCAGACTCGGGAAGAAATGGATGGGGAAAGCTGGATGTTTAAGCCATTCAGATAGACTTTGGAAACACCCAGATGGCTGCTCCACAGTCCCCAAGTTCATCTCTAGAGTGTGGGGCTTATTCACCACCACTCTCACGGAAAAGGACAAAATGCAGGATATAGGAGACAAACGGTAGTTTGGACTCTTTGGCTTTTATTTGGACCAAGCGGTCGCCCCTTGCCTCAACGGCCAGAAACAGAAGCCTGGAAAAACCATAAAGGTGCAGCAAGGAAGGGAAGCGGCTCGCCCTCCACCGTGTCAACCCAGATACTTACCCCTTGCGAGAAAACCCCGCACCTATTCCAGTCCATCCTCACAAGGGTCTCGTCTTTTCCATTGTAATTTTACCACAGGCCCTTTTCCAAGAATGAGCATTTATCATCACACTTACCTAACCGGCACTAAATCCAACATAAAAGCCCCAAGCCACGACAGGGTTCCCTGGAGATCCCTCATGGGAATGAAAATGTCCCCACGGCACCTCCTACCTGGTTTCTCAGACCCAGCCCAACCCCATAGAAACCACCTCCAGACACAGCTTCTCCCCCATCCTCAAAATTAGCATTCTCTGGTTATCCTCAGCCACCAGATGGTTATTTTTATGACCCCTGGCTAATTCCTGATGGTTCTGACTTTGTCTGGGGAACCCACGCTTCTTGGTTGTCCCCTGCCAACCAGACCAGCTCTTGCTACCTCGTCAATCTTACCAAATCTCTTCGTCTTACTCTGTTTCCTGCAATCTTCTTGCATTCTTAAATTCTCTCTAAAACAACCACCCCCTCCCTCAGGGTCACCTCGCTCTCACTACAAGAACAAGAGGTATCCATGACGTCCCAGATCCTCCGAATGGTGATCTCCGTTCCTGGGAAGGCGAGGTAGAAAAAACAGCCACAAAACTGGGCCTGCATTCCATCCAGGATCTCTCGACTTTTGGGGGAAAAGTTTGCCACTTTTTTGGGTACCATCCCTAGGAATTTATCACCTGGCTCAAGAAGTTAGATTCCACAACAGAATCATCTACTCATTGCTGAAGCCATTCACCTTGTCCCTAGATAATATCACCGTGGGCCTCGAGTCAGTGACCGGCCAACTACAAGAAACCCAGCGAGCCATTCTCCATATGACCCTGATTACAGAAGGGGGCACTTGCCCAGTGGTCAGAAGTAACTAGTGCATCTTCAACCCCAACAATCTACCAGACATCTTTGCCATAACCAGGAAGGTTCGAGAGGTGAATGAAGAAAACATTTCACTGCCATTCTAACTCACACCGCCAAGGAAGGATAACAGGTCCTGAGACTTTTGGTAGATCTCTGAAGGTCTGTGAAGTTGGGTACACATATTGATTCCGTCTCTAGCGTCCATCTACTTTTCTTCAAGGTATTCCTCTCATTAAAGGTCTTGTGTGTCGTACAGAACAGCAATTATCTATTGTCACCAACCACATAAGGAATAGACTTATGTTGTTCAGAGGAAAGAAGAATTTCTTTTCTTCACTTGAGCAAGGGGGGAGACTGACAAAGATTCTTTGCTTGACCAAACTTTAGTCAGGATCCCCCTGAACCTTCTCCCCAAGGAGGCCCTTCTATGTACTTCCTTGTAGAATCCAGTTCAGCAAGAATCCTGCTAAATCAGTTTACTCAGAATTTCCCACCCTGAGATCTTATCACGTTAGGCATCCCTACAACCCCCAACCCCCACAGGTGATATCTGATCTCCCTGGTCCACCTTCAGCCAGAACCCCCCCACCCCCACCCCGCTCCCCACCTCCCACTCCACTTGCTTCTTGGCTATAAGTCCCCCCTGTTCAGGTCGCATTTGGAACTGGGTCCAGCTCTAGAGTGGAATCTGTCTTCACCTACTGCAACAGCCTAACCTGTTTTCTTTCGCAGTGGTCTTTTTCCTTACCTGCCAGGTCTCTGAACATGCCATTTCCAAGCTCAGCCGGATCTCTGGCGATTTCCAGGAGGTGAGGCGGGCTTGCCCACCGCAGGGCTGACTCTAGAGAAACCCGCCCTCAGGTAGGGAAAGTCCCCATCCCCAGTGCTGGGAAGTGGCAGAGGAGAGGAAAGGTCCTCACCCTCCTGTCCTCCCCACCGGGTCTCCACCTCACAACCCTGGGGCCCAGTCGGTGGGGCCAGGACCGCTGTCCGTCTGGATCCACAGCCTCTGCGGACTTTGGACCGGGCCCCCGCCACCCCAGGCCGGCCGCGTCCACGCAGACGGATCTTAAGCTGCTCCTGCAATAGGATCAAATCTAGCACTTTCAGCTCAGCTCTGCGGAAGTTTTGCCCACTGGCCCATCACTTTGTGGAACCACACTGTTACATTTCACTTGCACAAAACAATGTCCTCTGCTTGGACAAAGTGTCGAGACAGCAGAAGCATACCTGATCCTCAGCAGCCCTTTGCCCCACATTCCAGATAAGGACATGGAGGCGGCAGGTAAGTGGCAAAAAGTGCAACTGCCTCCCTCTGAAACCTGTGCTCTTGTCCGTGCAAGGTGCCCAACCTGACTGGGCAACTGAGGAGGGTCACTCAAGGACCAGTGACATCCTGAGGCTTTTTGAAAAAGCCCCCGGGGCCAACAAGCCGCTAGATTTTTATCTTTTTTTCCCCCTAAGACAGGACACTTGGGTCCCTCTTCCCTCAGCCTCCCTTCCTGCCCTCCACTGCCTTAGTATCCCTACACACCCGCCAGGTGGGAGAAAGAAGAGTCTTTCTTCCTCCTTGCTCCCTCCCTCTCTCTAGGGGGTTGCTAGGAAGAGGGGGGTGTCAAACCCGCTCTCCACAAGCACCGAGGGAGTGACGGGGGCGAGCTGGCAAGGACTCCCTCCTTCTGGGAAGAGTAAAAGGGCCGCTCAGTCGGAAGGCACCGCCGGCACCTGCTACCGAGAAGCCCTCCCGCTGAGGTACCGCCGCTGGCCCCCGCCCGGGCCGGCGCGCGGAGCGAGCACTGGCCCTTTAAGAGCGGCGCGCGGGGAGGAGGGCTGGGAGCGCCCCGAGCTGCGCCGAACTCGCGGGGGACGTCGGGCGCCGGCTCCCTGGCTCGCTCACTCGCTCCGACCGGCTCCCTGCGCCTCCTCCCGGGACTGCGCGGGGACCCGGGCCCGGGCGGGCGCGGGGCGAGCAGAGTCCCCGGGCGGGAGGCGCGCGCTCTGGGCAGCACCCGGCCCCGGGCATGGACAGAGGGAGCTGGGCGCGCAGGGGGCGCCGCGGGACCGGGCGGCCGGAGCGCTGAGCCAGACAAAGGCTCAGGAGTTGCGCTAGCTTTCGGGAGCCGGGCCCCGGGCGCCGAGGCTGCGGGACCCCGCGGCGGGCGGCTCCGGCCGGCCACCTCCCCCCGTGGGCCGGCTCCGCGCGCCCGGACCTGCCCTGCCGGCTTCTCCTCGGGCGTGGGAATTTGCCGAGGGGACCTAAGCGGTTCCAGCGGGGACAAGGACCGAGAGGTCCGCCGCGCGCCCGCCCGGCGGGGAGCCAGGGAGCGTCGCAAGTTTCCGAGCCGCGTGCGGGGCCCCGGCGCCGGCCAGCGGGCGAGCCCTGCGTGCAGCGCGCCCGGCCGGGCTAGGCGCCGAGAGCATGGGCAGCGACCGGAGCGCGCCCGGACGGCCGGGCTGGGCGGGCAGTCTCCTCGGCGGCCGGGAGGCGGCGGCGCGGCCGCGACTGCTGCCGCTGCTCCTGGTGCTTCTGGGCTTCCTGGGCCGCGGCGCGGCGGCGGAGGACGCAGAAGTCAACGCCGAGGTAAGGACCCCCCTCTCGCCCGGCTCCTCCGCGGCGGGCCGGGGGCTTGCGGCGGGGGGGGGGGAGGCGAGAGGGAGCCACGCCCGCGGCCTGGGGCGAGGGGTGGAGGGCGCGGAGACGAGCCCCCGTCCGAGAGATGGGGGGCGGGGAAGAAAGGGGCCAGCGTAGCTGCCCCTCCCCAGCTCGCCCTCTGCGGCGCACCTCATCCCAAATCCTGGAGGGTGTAGGACTCGCGCCCAATCGACCCCTACGGCCCTGCCCGGGTCACTGATCCACCCCAGCCCGGGTCCCGGGAGTCGCTTCTGCTGCCCCCAGCCCTCGCTCCCCTCCTTCCCTCTCCCCGCGCGGCTGATTCCTCGAGAGTCCTGCGGGCGCGCCGTGACGTACCCTGCGAATGGGGAGGGGGCTGCCCTGGGGGGACCACGGGCGGAGCGGGCAGCTCTCCCACCTCGGTAGCCTCTGGTCTGGGTGACAGCGAGCCGCGCGCGGCGGGCGGGGAGGTGGGAAGGGGTGCGAACCTCCGAGACAGCAGTCTCGGGTTGCGGGGCGCTTTGGCGACTTCCTTGGGCTCTTGCGCGGAAGCCGCCCCGTGGCCAGGTGGGTCCGAGAAAGATCCTGTCTGCCCCCGGCGCTTTCTTCCACTAGCGCCCCTACGCCGAGGCCTGGGTCGGAGAGGGCAGACTCCGAACGTGTTATCAGGAGCCCGCCTGACGTCTCTCCGGAGCCCCGTCTCCGGATCGGTCCCGCTAGTGACCAGGCGCGGCCTTCTGGGCGCAGAGTGGGGTCCAACCAGCATCCCCACCACCACACGCCGCCTCGCACGGGGTCGCCCAGCGCGGCCCTCCCGAGCACGGACAGTGAGGACGGTAGCTTCGTTGCCCCAGCAAAAGCTGGGTCCCTTCTGTCCAGACTTCTAAGACCCGACTCCCTGCCCCGGACTAGGAGAAGGGTGGGACTGGGCAGGAGTGAGGGGGTGGGAGGAGAGACGCGCCTCTGTGCCAACCCCGGTAGGCTCGGGCCTCGGTGCCCTTGGGCGGGCCTGGAGCCTCCTGCAGCCCGGGCTGTGGCCCTGAGTGCCTTCTATTTGCAGCCGGGCCGGCGCTCCCTCCCAGCCCCCCGGCGGCTTCCCCACCTCCCCCGGCAGCCTGGGAGATTTTTCCGATGGAAGCCTGCCCTTCCCCGCCCTACTTTTAATAAAAGCATGGAGGAAGGGCAGGGAATTCCTCCCGGCTCAAGTTACACCTCCCATCCAGTTCCCCACCTGCTCTGCCCTCCCTCCCTGGCCTGGCCAGGGAAAGCTGCGGGGAGCCAGGCCTTGGCAGGAGGTGGAGTGGGAGCCCAGCCCGTGCCCAGTCCAGCTGCCCCCTCATTTCACACCGGTGGTCAGGCAGGGGCTTATAGGGAGTTCCTGCTGGTGGGGACTCCTATCCAGGTAATGGGTAGAGAGTGCTTATTAGGCCCACCTGCTACTCTGGAGAGGGGGAGCCAAGGACTGCAAGTCATAGAACCACCCTTGAGGAGTTTACAATCTATTTAAGAATGGCATCTGTGGGGGCACCTGGGTGACTCAGTTGGTTAGGCCCTTCGGCTCAGGTGATGATCCTGGAGTCCCAGGATCGCATCCTCATCAGGCTCCCAGCTGAGCAGGGAGTCTGCTTCTCCCTCTGACCCTACCCCCACCCTCCCACCCCCACTTATGCTCACGCTGTCTCTCACTTTGTCTCTCAAATAAATAAAATCTTTATTTAAGAAAAAGAATGGCATCTCTGCACAGCAAGCAATATATGGATCAAGCTCGAACTTGGTGGCCATGCCTGTGAATTGGCATCCTGGATGGATGGGGTGCTGGGACCTATAGTTGGAGGGGCTTTACTCTCTTTCCTTTGCTTCTGCTCCTCCATCACTCCCCTCCTCTCCCAGCTGAGGGAGTACCCATAGCCCAGAGCCTGCACCATCAGCCCTGAGTACCCACAGACCAGGGCCCTAAGCCAGTGGTGGCTCTGGTTAGAGATTTGTGACTGGCCTGCAGGCTGTCTCCTGGGGGAAATCCTGGGTTGGGGCATTGCTGGAGGAGACTCTGGAAGGTGGAGTCTTGATGTTGGCTTCCAACATCAAGGTAGGACCCTTGATGTTGGAAGCCAAGGTACACAGAGGGGTAGAGACAGGTGGACTATCCCAGCAACTACAGTTGGCTTTGGGGCACAGGCTGTTCTTTGGAGTCTGTCAAGTCTGTCCAGATTTGGGCCCAAAAAGTCAAGCAGCTTCAGCAACAGGCAGGAGGCCATGGGAGAACTGTCCCCAGATCCCCCAGCACTCACGGCCTGTGCTGAGGCCAACTCAGAATGGCAACCCCGCAGCCCTGGGAGAGCCCTGCCCTGCCGAGCGCTCGGTTCTGGCCCCTTTGCTCCTTGACCAGATGCTCCCTGCTATCCTCACCGCTGCCCAGCTGGGATTTTGACTTCTGCCTGAGGCCAGCTATGGGGGTTGCTGTGGTCACCACTGGCCCCCACCTCGGATTAGAAGACTGAATTTGGCATACTCCCCCAAATTCATAGGTTGAAACCTGACTCCCCAGGCGATGGTATTAGGAGGTGGGCCTTTAAGAGGCGATTAGGTCATGAGGATGGAGCCCTCTTGAATGAGATTGGTGCCCTTATAAAAGCTGCCTGAGAAAGCTCCCTTGCCCCTTCTGCCATCTGAGGGCACAGCAAGAAGAAGGTAGTCTGCACCCCAGAAGAGAGCCCTCCCCAGAACCCAGCCGTGCTGCCACCCTCATCTTGGACAGCCGGGGCCTCCAGAACTGTGTGCAATGCATGTTATAAGCTGCCCAGTTTATGGTATTTTTGTTATTGCGGCCCAGACAGACTAAGACATTTGGCCTCTTCCATGTCATCCCGAGGTTGATGTGGCTCACACAGCTGGCCACTCAGGCGGGGGCCGAGCCCCATGGCCAACTCTGCTTTCTGACCTGGAGATGTGGTCTCTGAGGCAGCAGAAGCAGAGAGGGGTTGGGGGCTGTCTGCTTGGATGCCCTCCACCACACAGGGTCCTAGGAGGACCCCACAGATGAATGTGAGGACCTGGGGCCGTGCAGGTGGTGGAACACTCCGAGCCTGCGGCACCCCATAGGTACCTTCTAGCTGGAGGAGCCCCCCTGAGTCAGGGCTCCCGTGAGGCTGCTCCCCAGGAGGACACCAGTTCTGGGGATGCCTGGAGACCAGTGGCTGTGGACTGGGCCCTTTGGGGGAGGTAGCTGAGATGTTGCATCCCCAGGCAAGAACAGCATAGGTATACAAGCTGGGCTTGGATCAGAGAGACAAAGAAGGGCGCCTCTTACCAGATACCATGACCCTGGTGGGAACAGCAGGAAATGAGCAAGAAGACCCAACTCAATCTCTGACAGCTGGACAGACAGACGAGGACCTAGGTGCCAGCCATCATCCAGCCTGTAGAGATGCTTCCCATCCTACTGCCATCCGATGGTCAAGCTGCCAGAGCCGGGAGGCCAGGGTGTGGAGCAGCTTTCCAGGGCTGGCCGTTAGCCCTGAGAACTACCTTGTCCTCCCAGAACTGATTGCCGCCCTGGAGGGGTGAAAGCCCAGCTTCACGTTGAGCATTTAGGAGCATGGCACCGGGTACACAGGAAGCGCCTGCAAAATGGTGGCCAAGCACAGTGACAATGAGCAGCAAGTAGCATTTGCTGTTGCATGCTGGGCAAAAGGCTGCAGGGTGCCATCCTGTGGGGAGTCTGCAGGGCTGGAGCCAGGCGGGAAGGAGGTTGTAGGGGTGGGGCAAAGCTGCCCTTGGCCGTCCCCCCACCTATCCAGCCACCCAGGCTTTGCCCCGTGAGTAGCCCTGTCAACACTGATAACGCCTACAGGAGAGTTTCCAGGTGAGGCCTCAAGGCCTAGCTCTCAGCCAGCCCCAAAACCACTAGCAAACAGGACAACTTTCACCCCGCCCCCTGGCCAAAGAACCCATCTGTTTTCCCCTCCAGGTTAAGGCTTGCAGGAGCAGGCTGGTAGGGGGCAGGGTAAAGAAACCCAGGAACTCAGGCAACCACCTCCTTCCTGCTTCCCTGGCTGGACATCCCCCACCCCTCCTACTCCCCCTGCCACCCAGAGCCCCTTCCCCACTGTAACGTAGTGGGGGAGGGCAGCTTGAGCCCCAAATAAGCAAGTGTGTTCTGGAACTGCTAAAATATGGACCGTGCTACCTCGAAAGGTAAAGGATCCAGCAAGGACAGGGGGCCTGGCTTGGTGCCCCCTCTCCTCACTGGCCTTGGTCTACATCATCTCTGCTGTCATCCCTGTGTGCAAGGAAGGAACAGGGGCCTCAAAGAAGCTTATTTAGCCCCCCTCCATCACTCGAAGGCCTGTTTGGCGGACAAGCAGATGGGACCCAGGGGCAGGTGTCCCTGGGAGGCAGGTTTCTGCTCAGCCTGAGGAGCAGCTTTCAAACAGTCATTAATGCCCAAAGACAGAATGGGCTGCGTTGGTGGCAGTGGGCACCCCATCTCTGCAGGGGTGCAGGCTGGAAGAGTCCTGGGCCCCGCTATGGTCCATAGAGGCTTCAGTGAGGTAGCTGGATTTGACAGCCTTGAGGTCTTCTGCAGACTGAGGCGGGATGAGTCTAGGGCTGGGTTGGGTCCCCTCGCTGGTGAATGTGCTCCTGGCTCAGATCCCCTGGAGAGGGTGGGCCCAGTGGGCCCGGGGTGCATGCTCTGCATCTGCAGGGTCTGTGGCTTCCCAGGACTACAAATCTCTTTTCAGCACTGGCTCTGTGCCGGCCAAGACTGGGAGTGCAGAGCCAGGCAAGGCCTTGGCCTTCTCCCAAGAGCCCAAAGACCAAGATACAGAGTAAGGGAGACAAGCACGACAGGGACTTCGCACCATGGAAGGTCCGGGTCTGTCACCGGCAGCCCTGACAAGATGCCTTTTATGCCTGACCGGCAGCCCTGCCAGGGCGTGCTTGGACTGCACAGAGAGCTGGGTCCGATAAGGCGGTGGGAGGGGCCCCAGCCCTCTGAGGCGGGGAGCTGGCCAGGGGAGCTGGCTGTGGTGGCAGCAGGGGTGCTCCCCCTCCCCCGCCCCCCACAGCTGCTTAATGCACAGTATCGATCCGCAGCTCCTTCTCAGACATACCCTCCCCGTGGGCCTGCCTTGGCATTGTCTCAGCAATTCTGGGGGCCAGCCCTGCTGACACGGCCCAGCACCCAGACCCGGCCAGAGAGGCGGGGTGTGGGGAGGACTAGATGCCCTCCCCCAGTGCTGTGCTGGGCTCTGCTCCTTGGGAGCTGGTGCTACTTCACACGCGGCCTGGGCCAGGAGCACTGCTTGTAGGCTCCAGTTCTAGCCAGACAGCTGTGTGACCCTGGGTGGGCTACTCGCCCTCTCTGAACCTCACTGTCTGTATAATGGGGACAGGGTACTTGTGAGCATTGAATGGGATGAGAGTAAACTGTCTGGCCTGCGGCAGGTTCTCAGCCTTCTGCTACGGTGTTTATGGCCTCTCCTAGGGGCTGGGGGGCCAGGAATCTCCCCTCAGACTGATGGCCCCACGTTTGCTTACCTGGGGTTAGCCACTCACCTGAAGCATTTATACATACTTTTTTTTAAATTTTATTTACTTATTTGAGAGAAACCATGAGCGGGGGGAGGGGCAGAGGCAGACGGAGAAGCAGACTCCCAACTGAGCAGGGAGCCTGACACACGGGGCTCGATCCCAGGACCCTGAGATCATGACCTGAGTCGAAGGCAGATGCTTAACCAACTGAGCCACCCAGGCGCCCCACATCTATACATACTTATGGGATGGGGTCTAGAGCTCAGGAAAGAAATGCTGGAAGAAGCCGGGTGGGTAGGTTCTCTCTGCATGGGCCCTAGAGCTCTTTCAACCTTCCCTGCCTCCCCCTGGACAGTGGCTCTCATAGAGGATCTCCCCCCTACTTTGCTGCTTCCTGACCCATCTGTGCCTCGGTTTCCCCACCTGAGAAACAAAGTTTCACCTGCTTAGCATTATCCCACCTATGGGACTATAGGTAACGAGGAAGAAAAGGAGGCTACTTTTGTAAAGGACAGACTACAGTCACCAATAGGAGCAGGAGGGGCTTGAACACAGCCCTCCTCAAGTTTGAGACTAGGAGGTTGGTCATGACCTTGGGAATCACGACCCCCTTTTGGCCCATGGCAGCAGAGCATGTCAGCAAGCTGGGACTTTAGGGGTACAAGCAGCCCCTGTCACACACCTGTGCACCCCGATCCCATGCTCTTTTCCCTCCGCGTCCTCACCTTCTGGGTTTGTCACACTCCAGCGGTAGGGTGGAGAGAAACATCCTCCCAGACACATGGGACAGGAAAAGCCCAAACAGCCCTACGGGTGGTGTAGACTCATGGGCACTTGGCAGTCAGCCCTGAGCACAAGTCTGCCAGAGTCAGGCAGGCTCCGGCAGCTTCTTCACCCTTCCTCGGGCTCGGCTGCTCGGCCCAGGCCGCGTATCTGCTCTCCTCCCTCACGTGCCATTGCTCCCCGGCCTGGCTTCTCATCCTGGCCATGGCCAAGGGCATTGGTCACCAGGAGACTGAGGGCTCAAGGCTTGGCTGATGCTGACTGAGATGGAAGCTCTTGGCCTCCCTAAGACCCCAACGGTGCTTGTCTGTGGGAAGGAGGGTCCACAGGCACCCATGGGACCTTCCTGGCAGCTCCTGAGCTGCCCCCAGGAGTGAAGGGCCTCTCAGCCCCGTCAGCTCTGCTGGGCTCTGGAGCTCTTCACTGCAGACAGGCCCAGCTCCCCTCCCTTTCCCTCCCCAGGGCCCCAGCCTGAGCCTCCCCCTGTCACTGCAGACACCACTAATCAGCCCCTTGGTGGCCTGTGATTGCGCTCCCTGAGATATTTTTACCTTATGCAAATAGGTGATGTAGAGGCGCCCTCCTCCGTCAGCAGGCAGCTCCACCTCTCCCGCCATCCCCTCTCACTGCCGGAGCTGGCCTCGCATCTCCGCCTTGTCTTCTGTGTCTGCCCCAGCTTCTTTGGGAAACTGCCCATTACGGGCAGTGGACTTCCCACCCTGCCCCTCCCATACACACAGAGCCTCAGGAGAGGATTCCCGTGCTTGGGAAGAACAGGGAAGGAGCCCTGGGCCAGAGGGGCGTGGAGGGCCAGTGGGGGGGGGGGGGGGGGGGGGGGGTGCCTCAAGGCCTCCCCCTGCTGCTTTGCCCTCACCTGAGGCCTCCTGGCACTCAGGCCCTGTGGGAGGCTGGACCCTTCAACTCTCTCTGGAGAGGCAAAAGACTGCCGTTCCAGGGACAACCAGACAGGCCTTTGTCATTAATAATACATTTACTGAGCACCTTTCCCTACGCGGCACATCGCCACGCAGTGGTGCGGACTCCCCATCGAATCCTCACAGAAACCCGTGCAATGAGGCAGGTCCTGGTCCAGCCCGCCCCATAAGTGGGAGTTTTTTTTTTTTTTTTTTTTTTTACCTCTGCAAGTTCCTCCCCAGTGCCTCCTGGAGGGCAGTGCCTGGGGCCAGCTGGCCTGCTAACCCCTCCCGGCGCCCCCAGCTCTGCTGCTCCAGCCACCATCCCAGGGCAGGGGAGCTGCTCGGCGACAGAAGCTCCCCTCTGAATGGCCTGGGCACTGTGGTCCTCTCCTGCCTCCTTTTCGGCCTGACAGGGTTTTCAGTAAATGCAGCACTTGATGAGTAGATGTTTGATTTTTTTTTTTTTTTTTAACAGCACTAACTTGTGCACCTGGAAATAAAAACTTGGCGGTCTTTAGTCTGACAACAGCCTAAAACACAGGAGGCATGCAGCCATACCTCAGAAGTGGCTGGGCCAGAATCTGTCCCCAGCTCTGTCACCAGAGCTGATGGCTGTTTCCCAGGGCCTGGGAGGCCTGGAAGCTGCAGCCGGGCACCTGTCCGTGTCACCCTCTTTGGCTCAGCAGCCACTCCCTCCAGTGGCCACCTGGACACCGCTGAGCCGGCTGTGTGGGCCGCCAAGCCATGCCGGGGGGCTGGCAGGTGGCACTCAGGGAGCAAGTCTTTGAGGACTTGGATGTGACGCTGGTGGCAGACAGACATGGGCGTGGCCCTGGCCAGCTGACACAGGGCTGTTGGTTCATGGCAACCACCATATCTGGCCATCACCCTGTCTTATGGGACTTTGATGTGCAGCCTTAACCTTCCAGAGCCTCCCAGAGAGCAGGCCTCAGGTGCCCTCACCCTGGGGGGCCCCCAGAGACCCAGGGTGGGCCAGGAAAGGTACAAAGGACACTTCCCTGTGGCCAGAGCCTATAGCAGTCCCTGGCCTCTGTGCTCACCAGCAGCCTCGCGTGGCTGTCACCATGCTGTCACGGCCAGGATGGATTCTTAGCACAATTCAGCTCAGCTCATCGGGGATCCCGTCCTCCAGTTTGCGACTGTGACAGTCCTGTCTGCTCGCAGACTTGCAGGCGTGAAGCCCTCCCTCTGCAGGAACACCTGGTCTCCCCAGGGAGCCTGGAAGCCCCTGGAGGTCAGCACACCTCTCCCGCGGTCCTCCACAGCCTCCAGCTGGTACGGTGTCTGGCATGGAGAGGGCGCCACAGAAACACTTGGCAGGAGGTGGGGGGGCGGGGGAATGCATGGACAGATGGATAGATGGAGGAGACTTGCCCAGCAAGCTCTGGAAGGGGACGGCACCCCTGTTGTGTGCCAGCCGCTTTTCCCAGGGCTGCCCCATTGCTCCCTGAGAAAACTCAGGCCCGGTGAGAACAAAGCGTTTGTGGCAAAGCAGGGACTGAACTGCAGGTCTCCTGTCCCACCGCAGTGGGCCTGGGTGGGCTGCCCGAATCCATCTGTTCTCCCGGGAGGCTTACCGTCTGCAGGGGAGCAGCACCAAGGGGCTGGTTTTCCTACTTGGGGAGACCTCAAGAGGTTCTGAACCCTTCAGGGTCCCCAGCAGTCTGCCAGGAATGGTAGGGGGCCCGCCCTGGAGCAGCCAGTACAATAATAAGGACAGCTACTGTGGACTGTCCTCACAGACACAGTTCCCATCCTAATGGGGCAAACAATAAACACCGAACTGAAATATATAATGTGTCAGACGACAAGGACAGGAAAGGACAAGAGAGAATGCAGAGTATGCAGATGGGGGTCTTCTTTTAACACTGTGTTGTCAGAGAAGAGACCCCTCCAACAAGGTGAGGTGAAAGCAGAGACTGAGGAAAATGGGTGTGGGAGGCATACAGATGCCTGAGAGTGTTTGGGCAGCAGGAACAGCAAGTGCAAAGGCCCCGAGGCAGGAGTGTGACCATCGGGGAGGTGGGTAGGGCTGAGGGCTGAGGCAGGGGGCAGGTAAGGAGCGCCTGGCAGCTCCTGTAAGAACTGGCTTTGCCTCTGAGCTGGGAAGTCTTTGGAGGATTCTAAGCAGAAGCAGAAGATTGACCAGACCTGACTTGTAAAGGCCTTTTGTTCTGGCTCTTGTGTGAGAACAGACCATAGGAGTGGACACAGGGAGAGCAGTACAAAGGCTCACACGGTCACCGGCAGCAGGAGGGGGTGGCAGCCCCAGCAGGGCGATGGTGGCCGTGGCGGGCGGTCGTCGGATGCAGGCTGCGTCTGTTCAGAGGTAGCCGTGCCAGTCATACTGACCCAGGGGTGGCCTCTCCTTTGCAGAACTGGCTGAGGCTCTATGGCTACCTGCCCCAGCCGAGCCGTCACATGTCCACCATGCGCTCCGCCCAGATCCTGGCCTCAGCCCTGGCCGAGATGCAGCGCTTCTATGGGATTCCCGTCACGGGTGTGCTCGACGAAGAAACCAAGGCGTGAGTCCCTCCGTCTGGCCCTTCCCAGGCCCCACTGGCACCTGCCCTCCTTCTGGCCTGCTCTGACAGGGGTTTGGCAGGTGGAGTTTCCAGAACAGAGTGGCTTAGATAAGAAATGGCAGATGGCTGGGTCTTCCCTGTGCTGTTCTCATTGGCTGGGAGAGGTGGCCTGAAGCTCTGTGTCGAGGAAGCTCCTGGGGCGAATCAGGCTGGGCAGCAAGGAGCATGGGATTGATTAGTGATGTCTGCCACAGGCAGGGGGGGAAGGAGGGAGCAGCACGCGGGCCCTGGACCGTGGCTGGGACATTTGGCGCCGTGCTGAGTCTGACCGAGGTGACAAGACCCAAAATTGCATCCCTGAGCATGCACTGAGCACAACGTATCACGGACGGAGGGCCTCAGGAGTAACTCTTCCATTCCTGAGTGATACTGGTGAAAGAGGGCTCACCTTCGTGGAGCCCCTGCTGGGCACTCGGTCTTCCAGTCTGAGTCAACATGCCTGTTTCTCCAATGAGGAAACTGAAGCGCAGAGAGGGTCCCACCCCCACCACACCCATACAGAGGGCAGATGGAGGCCAAAGGCAAAAAGGTGGAAGAAGGTGGACTGCCTGGAAGAGGCAAAGCCAAAGCGGGCAGGCATCGGGAGGGAGGCTCTGGGCTTAAGGCTCTGTGTCTGTGACGCAGGTGGATGAAGCGACCCCGCTGCGGGGTGCCAGACCAGTTTGGGGTGCGTGTGAAAGCCAATTTGCGACGGCGGCGGAAACGCTATGCCCTCACGGGGAGGAGGTGGAGCAGCTACCAGCTGACCTTCAGGTAGGGACCTTGGCTGTCCAGGGCAGCAGCCCTCCCACGGCATCAGCCGGACACTGCCGGCTCCCCTCCCCACCCGGCCGAGGCCTCAGGCTTCCTAGAGGGCTTGTCTGGAAGGCTTCCTTTCCCAGAAGCCCACCCCAGGGTGCCCAGCATAGACCATCCGACCCGCTCCCATGCCGACAAGATCAGCCGCATATCCTAGGCAGTCTTCCCCCGGCGAAGGTCAGGACCCTTGGAGCTGCTTCCGCTCTGTCCTCCTTCCCTCCCGGCTCCCCGCCCCACCCACCAGCAGCTGGGGGGCTGGCCGCACAGCTGGGGGCCTCCGCAGTGCCTGGCACATGGGGCTTCAGGCATCTAAGGGGTGGGGGCGGGTAGCAAGGTGTTGGAATCCAGGCATCTGTCAAGTGGGCAGACAGCAAGTCCCCTGCACAAACCCTGGTCCAGGCACCCTCCTCCTTTGGCAAGAACCGCCCCCCCCAGCCACGTCGCAGTCCCCAAGGGATCCCCTTCCTGTTTTAGTCCAGCCACGGCCCCACCCGCAGCTCTATCTCCTGAGGAAGAGCGGCTCCTGCGGCCACTTAGACCCCAGGCCCCCAGAGCGAAGTCATGGCCCAACCAGCTTTTAATGGAGGAGATCTGTCCAGCACACAGAAGCTTAATCTGATTTATGTGGGTAATACCAGGCATCCTCCTGCCTTTATCACGTGCAGACTCGGGGCCCGTGTTCTCCATGAGCTCATTCATGTCATCCTCCCAGCTCCCCAAGATGAGAGCCAGGACTCTCCTTTTCCCATTTTACAGATGCAGAAACTGAAATACAGAAAGACGAAGTCGCTTGCCCAAGGTCATGTAGATCATGTCAGAGCCCGGCCTTGAACTCGGGACAGCCTGACCCTGCAGTCCAATAATCAGAACCGCTTGGCCCGGGTTTCCTAAACCTCAGCCATTTGTCTCCAAACCGTCTAGTTCTTTCTCTTAGCTACATAGCACCTGTTCTTTTATTTGCTTCGTGGTTTTCTTATTTAAGCTAATTGGGCGCCATGCAACCTTATTTAGTGATATCCTCATGAACTCCCGGGTTTGACGTGTTAGTTCTCCTTTTCAAATTCACGTCAGAATGAACTAATGGTTGGTATTGATGGGCACTGTCGGTGAACCAGCTCAGATCTTAGGCATGTCTCTTGGGACCATGTGTCTTCACCCACACCCAGTGGGTGCTAGCAGTGGACAGTGGAACCCAGTAGGCCCTGGGTTCACTCCTTGTCTCCCTGCCCACCTGCAGCATCCAGAACTACACAGAGAAGCTGGGATGGTACCACTCGCTGGAGGCGGTGCGAAGGGCCTTCCGCGTGTGGGAGCAGGCCACACCCCTGGTCTTCCAGGAGGTGCCCTACGAGGACATCCGGCTGCGGCGGCAGAAGGAGGCTGACATCATGGTACTCTTTGCCTCTGGTTTCCACGGCGACAGCTCACCATTTGATGGCACGGGGGGCTTTCTGGCTCATGCCTATTTCCCTGGCCCTGGTCTGGGCGGGGATACCCATTTCGATGCAGATGAGCCCTGGACCTTCTCCAGCACTGACCTGCATGGTGAGGACACCTGGCCAGGGCAGGGGAGGGGAGGCACGGCACAGCCGGCCCTGGGCATTGCCCTCTGAGCCGGTTCAGCAGTTACAGGGTTGGGAGGGGAGAGCTTCCCTTGCGCATTTCTCTGGAGCACTGACCCTCCATCTCAGTCTATTGTCCCATGATCTCTAAGGGGTGGTAGGGAAGGGAAGGGATCATCATACCCATTTCCCAGGTGGGGAAGCTTGAGGCCCAGCAGTCAAGAGCAGCTCAGCCTCTCCTAAGATTAGCAGAAGGGCCAGCTCTCTGATAGCCTCAGCCCACAGGGCCTGTGGGCCGGGTCCTAGGCCAGGCCAGAGCTGACTATGCTGCCCGCCCCCACTGCAGGGAACAGCCTCTTCCTGGTGGCAGTGCATGAGCTGGGCCACGCGCTAGGGCTGGAGCACTCTAGCAACCCCAGTGCCATCATGGCGCCGTTCTACCAGTGGATGGACACCGACACCTTCCAGCTGCCCGAGGACGACCTCCGGGGTATCCAGCAGCTCTACGGTGAGTGGGCAGCGTGGGTACGGCTGGGGGCTCTGCATGCCGGCTCTCAACTCCCAGCCCGACGAGGCATACGTACCACCACTAACCGTGTTTTGTAGATGAGGAAACGGGTCCAGAGAGGATTAGTGACTTGTCCACATCAGTCAGTGAGTAACTGATGGTGCTAGAAATCACGCCCAGGGCTGACCGACTCTAGGGCCTGGCCCTCCCCCAAAGCCTTCATGGGGGCTCCAGGCTGGGGTCCCCAAAGCCCCTCACTGACCCCTCCTTTCCTCCTCAGGGTCAGTGGTATTCTTATTAGACTGGGAATGCCCCTGGGGTCCCAGACCCCGTTCTTCCCACTCTCGCTCCCAACCCCAGCCTGTCCCAGGCTCTCCAGTGAGTGTTGTTGGCTTATCGCTGCCCAGTGGCTTTGAGGCAGGTGGCACCCCCCTACTCAGGCCCCACCTGAGAAGGCCTCCAGTGGTAAGGTCTCCTGAGGACCAGTACTGTGGGTCAGGGTCTGTGCTCAGTGCCCCACGGAGCCCCTTGTTAGGGCTGGCGGTACCTGCCCTGCTGGGCACATGGCAGACACTCCCTTACAGACACCCCGGCAACCTGGCAATGAGATGGGCCCTCGGCAGAGGTCACGGGACCATGTTCTTTCCTCTCCTCTGCATGTGTCCCCTACTTCCTGGTCCACTGAAGCAGGCTAGTGTCCTGAGGGGACTGTCCCCAAGGGCACGTGGAGTCAGGGGCAGCCTCAGGGGCACAGTGACCCACGTCCAGTGTGGGGAGGTCGAGGAGGCTGTATGGAGGAGGATGGAGGTCCTGTGGGTGATAGCTGGTATGGCGGAGGGGTCTACTGTGGACAGACAGGGACTTGTACCTGGCTAGGCCTACCACCGAGGCAAATGTCCCTCTGGGCTGGGGGCCCCAGGGTCCCCTGGTTCTGAGTAGGAGAACCTGGCATCCTGGCTGGGTTCTGGGGCTACCTGCTGACTTCCCACTCCCCCCACCCGACTCTGCAGGCACCCCGGATGGCCAGCCACAGCCCACCCGGCCTCTCCCCACCGTGACTCCCCGGCGACCAGGCCGGCCAGATCATCGGCCCCCCAGGCCCCCCCAGCCACCACCCCCAGGTGGGAAGCCGGAGCGGCCCCCAAAGCCAGGCCCCCCAGCCCAGCCCCGAGCCACGGAACGGCCTGACCAGTATGGCCCCAACATCTGCGACGGGGACTTTGACACAGTAGCCATGCTGCGTGGGGAGATGTTCGTGTTCAAGGTCTGGCCCCCGCCCATGCCTCCCCTAGACCCTTGGCCCCATCTCAGAGCAGGAGAGCAAGCCCCACATCCCACTCCCTGGAGCCTTTCCCCATCTGGCTGCCCAGGCAACCCCACCCCTCCTTCACTGAGCAGCCTATGGGGAGCCATCAGACCCTAGACCAAGAAGAAACCAGCCTGAGGGACAAGGGGCTTGACCAGGGTGACACAGACCTGCAGGGGCCTATGCCCCACCCAGGGCTCCCTCCCCAGGGCCACCCTGGCCTTCTGAGCTACCCCTCCACATCTCCCTGACCTGGGAAGGGGTGGATCGAGGAGATGCCTCTCCCAGGAGGAGGCTTGCTCTGCCCACTCACACACACGCCTTCCCCAGGGCCGCTGGTTCTGGCGAGTTCGACACAACCGCGTCCTGGACAACTATCCCATGCCCATCGGGCACTTCTGGCGTGGTCTGCCCAGTGACATCAGTGCTGCCTACGAGCGCCAAGATGGGCGTTTTGTCTTCTTTAAAGGTAAGATGGGGCAGGTGGGAGGCCTGGGCAGCCTTTCTGCCCTGGCCTCTGACCCAGCGGGCCTGAGGGAGGAAGAGAGCAAAGGGCTACATTGCATGTGTCATCCTATTGTCCACTGTGGGGGGAGACAAGTCAAGGCAGGGGTGGGGGAGGTAGATGGAAACCAGGAGACACCCGCGCCCCTGAGGGCCAGAGGCTGCTCCGACTGGAGGTGAGCGTCCATCCTCCACATCATGGGGGCTCCGCATCAGTTCCCTCCCTGCTGGCCTCTTGTGCCTCCGCAGCCCCTCCTCGTAAGAACAGATCCCCCAAGCCCACTCGGGCAGGATTTCTGGGGTCTGCCAGCAGGGACAGTGGAGCTCCCTACCACCAGCTCTCCCGCAGGGGCCTTATCCCCCTTGGGAGGGCCTCAAGGGCAGTACCCCCTGACGGACTAGCTGTGTCCCCAGCCCCCTGCCGGCCTCAGCTCATGCTAAAAGCCCCCGGGCCCAGAGGCCAGGCAGGGCTCCCCCTCTTTCCTCTCTCTCTACAAGAACTGTGTATGGGGGCGGGGCAGATGTTCACGTGGTAATGCAGGCCATTTATAGTGTGACTGTGTGGTGTGTGTGTAGGTGTGAGTGACTTGTACGTGTATGAGTGTGTCGCAGGTGCCCATGAGTGCCAAGTGCGTGCGACATGCAAGTGAGTTGCATTGTGTGTTGTCTTGGGTATGTGTAGGGGTATGATTGTGTGCATGTGTGGTGAGAGAGAGAGAGTGTGTGTGTGAGCGTGGCCATGGATGTGAATGGATTTGTGGGCCCAGGATCGCACTCCCCGAGCCCCTTCCCCACAGAGCCCCTTCAGCCCCAGGCCCGTCCTCGCCCATCCCCCACTCCTGCAGGTGACCGCTACTGGCTCTTCCGAGAAGCGAACCTGGAGCCTGGCTACCCACAGCCACTGACCAGCTATGGCCTCGGCATCCCCTATGACCACATTGACACGGCCATCTGGTGGGAACCCACAGGTCACACCTTCTTCTTCCAGGAGGACAGGTGAGCACCCCCTTCCCCAAAGGGAGAAGGCCCCAGTCCAAGCCCCCCTACCCAAAGAAAACCCACAGCCCGGTGCTTTTGGTCACAGGTACTGGCGCTTCAATGAGGAGACGCAGCGCGGAGACCCCGGCTACCCCAAGCCCATCAGTGTCTGGCAAGGGATCCCTACCTCCCCCAAAGGGGCCTTCCTGAGCAATGATGCAGGTACCAGGGCCAACCCCCTGCAGTCTGCCTAGCACTCACCATCCCCCCTCCTCCACACCCAGGATTCACCCAGCATTGCGATGGCAGGTATGGGGGACACTGTGTCAGGCCTGGGCCGGGGGCTTCCAGAGCATGACTCTCCTGATCCTTCCTGCATTGTCTCCATCCCCTTTTTACAGTCAAACTGAACCAGCGAGTCTGAGTAAAGGGCCCCAAGTCCCACCACAAGGGAGTTGGGGAGTCAAGAGTCCAACCCAGGTCTGCCTGTGTCCAGAGCTGGCACTCGGGATGGCCTTGCTCCCTGCAGAGTCCAGCTGGGCCTGGGCAGCCCACTGGGAGCCTGAATCCTGAGGGGGGTGGCTTGGCTCAGGTCATTGGGGGGCAAGGGTCCTCGCAGGGTGCCCACTTTCCCACCTGGAAAGGAAGCTTGACCTCTGTCACTATAACTGAGCAACAGGGAGCTGTGGCTTTTATTTCTCCAGCGGGGTCTCCGGCGACCTTAAGAAAAACCATTAGTCTTGGTTCTCAGGTTCCCGGTTCTTGGGCTCAGGGGAGACCCTGCTGGCTTTGCCGGTGCTTAGGCAGGTAATGGCGTCTGTGTATGATGGCATCACTCTGCAGCCCCTCTGATCTCATTGTGTCCAGCAGAGTATGGACTCACCCACAGTTCAGACTTGACCCTTCCTGGGGCTGAAGGGATGTGGGCAAGGTGCCCAAGGCCGCAGAGCTTGTCCAAGGCAGCGTTGGGCTCTGTTCCAGCCCAAGCTGCAGGCTGGCTGTGCGGCCTTGATCAAGACACTGGCCTCTCTGGTGTGGGGTGGAGCCAGTCCTGGGACAGGGTAGCAGGGCCGCCTGACTGTAGCCCGGGATGCAGCAGGCTGCAAGACCCTCCGGTGTCCCACCCCGGTCAGTGTCAGCCCAGCCAGGAAGCACCGGAAGCATAGTCAGGCCCTTGACTGAACCCCGCCCCCCATCTCTGAGCCCGGTCTGGCTTCTGGAGCTGGGAGGGGGCAGATTTGAAGGTACTCACGCCAGCAAGTGAGAAGGGGGGGTGCTTTAAAGCCGGGGCGCCTTCACGGCCTGGTCTTCTTTGAGGGTCTCGGGGGGGTGGGTGGGGCACAGCCTGACACCACTCATCCCCGCTTGCCCCCCACCCCCCCGCAGCCTACACATACTTCTACAAGGGCACCAAGTACTGGAAGTTCGACAACGAGCGCCTGCGGATGGAGCCGGGCTACCCCAAATCCATCCTGCGGGACTTCATGGGCTGCCAAGAGCACGTGGAGCCGGGACCCCGCTGGCCCGATGTGGCCCGTCCGCCCTTCAACCCCGACGGGGGTGCAGAGCCCGGGGCGGGCGGGGACGGCGAGGAGGGCGAGGAGGGCCATGAGGCCGGCCCGGGCGGCGGCAAGGGGACAGGCGGGGACGGGGACAGCCGCGTGGTGGTGCAGATGGAGGAGGTCCCGCGGACGGTGAGCGTGGTGCTGGTGCTGGTGCCGCCGCTGCTGCTGCTCCTGTCTGTCCTGGGCCTCAGCTACGCCCTGGTGCGGATGCAGCGCAAGGGCGCGCCGCGCGCGCTCCTCTACTGCAAGCGCTCCCTGCAGGAGTGGGTCTGACGCGCCGCGCCCCGCCCTCCTGCCCCTCTCCGCGCTGCGGGGGCGGGGCCGCTGGGCACCGAGCCGGCAGCCTTCCAGGGCTCCCTCAGCCCCTGGGGGGGGGTGGTCTCCAGGCCCTCCGCCGGCCCCGCCCCGTTGTTTATTTATGCCCAGGTTTTGTTGTTGGTGGGGTTTTTTTGTTTTTTTGTTTTTGTTTTTTTTGCACACTAATTGAGTATTTGTTTCTACTTTGCTGACCAGGAGCGGGCGGTCCCTCCTGGCAGGGGTTAGAGCTTTCTAAATGGAGTTCTGCTCCGGACAGGGAGTGAGCCCCTCGCCCCCGCCCGCCCCCCCCCCCCCCACCTCTGGCTTGGCCACAGCCAGAGGAGCAGAGGGTCAGAAGGCCCAGCTGGAAAGTGGCTAAAGGGTTTCTGAGGCTCCTTCCCGCCCTGGACCCTCCTCAGCCTGGGCTGGCTTTGGAGACGAGTGGGGCCTGACTGGTCTCCACCCACCTGAATGTCTGCCTTAGAAGAGCTTTCACCCAGGGGCAGCCCCTGGCCACAGGGGACAGAAGGGTGAGGTGGCCTACTGGCCCTGAATCCTGTGGAGTTTTGATTCCTTCCCCACCTACCCCTGTCAACCCGTTACCCAGGCTTCTCGTGCCCAAGATGCCTACCCTGGCCCTGGCCAGCCAAGGGGCCCATAGTCCCCAGCTCCCACATACCCCTTGAGCCTACCCTACACCTCCTCCCCTCTCTGCAGAAGAGGCCCTGAGCCTGCCTTACCAAGGACCAAAGGGGGTCTGCCGAGGCCCCTCCACCCAGGGGCCTCACCAGCCCCCCAGGCTGGGCTTCCTGCCCCTGTCCACCCCTCTCTGAGCTATGACCCACCTGGGCTCCTTCCCTGGGCTTCCTCCCACTCTCCCTCACCCACACCACCGTCCTCAGGGGTCTCGGAACCCCACCAGCCTCAGGCACCAGCTGCCAGCCTCCCAGCTGTCCCAGGAAGACAGGGGGCTGATGGGCGCCCACAGCCCACCATGCACCCGGCTTGGGGGTTCCTCCCCTCCAGCTCCCTGTCCCCCAGGGCACTGGGAGGAGGGACACTGGTGGAGAGAGGCTAGCAGCTCAGCCCCTCACACAGACTTGCAGGCTGCAGCTCTGGAGCCCCCAAAGGAGCCCACTGTGGCCTGGAGACTCCCCTTCTCCTTGGCTCAGCCTTAAGGGCAGGGACGCTTCCTCCTCCTTTTCCTTCCCAAAGTAAGCAGGAGGCAAGGCTGCTGTGGAAATGGTACTGTACAGCCGGCTCCGTCCCCTCTGCTTCCCCTCGGCCCTGAGCAAGCGGGTCTGCCACCCAGACCCCCGAGGCCCCTGGAGGGAGACGCATCTCATGGACTGGCCTGGAGCTCGGGTCTGGCAGCTTGCTCCCCCCTCCATCCTCAGAACCGGAGAGCCAGCCAAGGGATGGGGGGGTGGAGGGCAGTGTCCACCCCCATACATTTCTTTCTGTAAATACTCTGCACTGATTAAATTGTACAGCCGGCAAGTGTGGCCTCATTGGAAGAGGCCCTGGGCCGGAGGGGCTGTGGGTGACAGGAGTGAGTCCAGGCCGCGATTAGGGCACTTGCCCTCCATGTGGAAGAGACCTTGTTCCCAGTTCTCCGGGGTTCCTTCCCAGTAGCCCTGGGAGGGGCAGAGCTCAGAGGAAGAGTGAGGGGTGGCTGCCCTCCACAGACCAGAAGCAGGTGGGGCAGGGGACTGGGGTTGGCCCTGCTGGGGTGGGGCAGAGAAAGAGTGCAGAATTTACTGGACATTCATTCACGGTGAGAAAGGGCATCCCAGCTTCCCACACGCAGTGTGTGTCTAGGAGGGGTGGGACCGCCAGGCCACGCCCCCCAGCCTTTCTTCCACCCATCCAGACGGGGTTCTGGGCAGCCTGAAGACCCAGCTTGGAGGCAAGAGATGGGAAGTGGTACCGCTTTGGATTTGAAAAGTTCCCCTTACCACATGCTCTGCTCAAAGGTGGGGGGGGCGGGCACCCAAGATCTGCCCTGTCATCTTTGAAAAAGCAGGAAATCACGCTGGGCAGCCTGCAGACAAGGCCCAAGAGAGTAGGAGACGGGAGCTTCACTGCCCCTGGGGTCTGGGCGTGGCTGGCAAGCCTTGGACCCCACATCCATCCTCTGGGCCAAGCTATTGGGCACTGGCCTGCACCCCCAGAAATGCAATGGTCTGCTGTAGTGGGGTTCCACCCCAACCATGGAGCAGGCCAGGCCTCCACAATAGCTGGGGCAGGGTCCTTCAACCTGTTCCAGGCCCCACCCTCCCCTCAGCTGCACACCTCCTCCCAGCCCCCCTTGATCCCACCCTTTCCTCTCTTTGTGTTGAAAACTGGCTGAGGAAGCCCCAAAGGCCTCTCAGGCTCAGCTAGGAAATGGCCCGTGAACCCCTCCTCCACCACAGGGGCCTTGGTGGGCAGCATGGGGGTCCAAGGCACACACCATCTTGTCAGCTTTCTTGTGGCAGAAGCCACAGGGCCCCACCCAGGTCTGCCTTCTGCCTGAAGCCCAGAGGTCACCAGGCAAGTGGGGGCACAGGAACGAAAAAGGAGAGGACATGAGACCTCTCACCGAGCTCTTCCTCAGAACCCAGGCCAGGGAATAGAATTGGCAGAGGAGGCCTCAGCTTCTCAGGAAATCTCCTGAGGAGACCTCTACCCCCAAACTCTCTGGTGAAATCTCAAGACAACCCAGTGGCTGAAGGAACAGCACATCTGGTGAGCCCATGGGTGTGAAGGTCTCTGAGGTGTGGTGTCAGGCCTCAGCCCTGCCTCACAACTTGACACCCCCTGGCCCTCCCCCAGGATTAACAGGAACCTGCATCTTTAAATTGGTTTTGTTTAATGTGGCTGCACCTAAACTCACCATGGGCCCCACAGCACCTGTCTTGCTAATTCCCAAGTAAGATAATTAAGACTTAACAGATACACAAAAAGAAGCAAAATCTAAGTCATCTCTCCCCAGGCCAGTGTTGACAGTTTGGCGTTTCTTCCAGCCTTTTTTCCCTCGCATTTGCACAGCTTGCAGTTTTAGAGTCTAAAACATCCTGGGCTTCGGCCCAACGCCCCGGGTGCTTACATCTCCGTGGAGTGGGTAACGCGACCTGCTGCATGGGCCGCTGGGGGGGTGGGGTGAACGGAGGATGGGCGGCTGTACACGGCCGGCCACCACGGTGCCTGGCACATGGCAAGTGCTCAGTGTCGACTTGCACACTCCCCCACTTACATTTTATTCATGAGAAAAGTGGGGCTCAGAGAGGTCAAGTGACTTGGCCAAGGTCACACAGCCAGGACACAGCCACGCTGGGAGAAGAACCCAGACAGACTGACTTGCACAGCAGCTCAGCCCCAGCTTACCCTGGTGCTGCTGGAGAATAGAGACAGCAATGAGGAGGCCCCTGCCCACCCTGGTCTTCCCTCCCCACACATTCTAGGGGCTGAAGACCCCAGGGCCACCAACAGAGCCCCCTTTCAGGCTGGGGCAGGGGCCAAGCTGGCTGCTTCCTCCCCCTCCGACTTGGCAGAAAAGCCTTTTTGTTGTGGCTCACACAGAGGCCATTCTCTGGCTCACGGGAAGGAATGGCCAGCTTCCTGTCCATCCACAGCCTCCCAGACTGCAGTGGACTCCTCCACGTAGGTCCGAGAGGAACAGGGCTCTCTGTGCCTCCACGATGTCCAGTCCTGCCTCTGGGGCCCAAAGCTGCCAGGCTTTACCCTCCAACGTGTGAAACCACAAGAGAGGGGAGGGGTCTGCCACCCCTCGGCTCTCCCAGAAAATGCCGGAGATTCCAGGCCTCATGGCACTTTCAGGGCAGAAAGTGCCTTTCTTGTGACCCACCGAGCACTGGTAGAGGCCCCTGCCAGGCTGCTTGCCTTGTCCCAACTGTCCCCTGCCCTGGCTTGCCTCTGTGCCTCAGTTTATGCTGTTCCCTCCTACCGGAAAACCCTTCCCTGCACATTTCATGCTGTCTCAATTGTATCGATCCTTCAAGGCCCCGATGAAGGCTTGCCTTTTCCAGATTCCCACACTCCCTCCTCAAGATAGTTGAGTTTCCTTCCTCCTCCGGCTCACCCAGCACTTGTGTCCTGACCATTCCTTGTCTCCAAGCCTAGCCTACCCATCCTTTTTTTTCTTTTTTCTTTTTTAATTTAAATTCTAGTTAGTTAACATACAGGGCAATATTGGCTTCAGGAGTGGAATTCAGTGATTTATCACTGACACACAACACCCAGTGCTCATCCCAACAAGTGCCCTCCTTACTGCCCATCACCCATCTGGCCCATCCCCCACCTCCCTCCCCTCCAGCAACCCTCAGTTTGTTCTCTGTCGTTAAGAGTCTCTTATGGCTTGTTTCCCTCTCTCCTTTTTTTCTTTTCCCCCTTCCCTTATGTTCATCTGCTTTCTTTCTCAAATTCCACATATGAGCGAGATCATGTGGTATTTGTCTTTCTCTGACTGACTTATTTCACTTAGCATAATACCGTCTAGCGCCACCCATGTCACCGCAAATGGTAGCCCGCCCATCCTTACAGGCACCCAGTGGCCCCATTGCTCAGGAGCTGTGTGTCCTTGGGCAGGGCACTTCATGTCTCTGAGCCCAGATTCCCCATCTGTAGAATGGGGCTAAGAGCATGCGTAGCTCATACACTTGGGGAGCTTGACCGAGTGAAGCCTTGTGAACACTTAGAACAGCCTCTGGCCCGTGTCAGACTCTAAATAGCTTGTTACTAATACCTCTATTTTAGGTGCGGGTGTACCTGCGGGTGTACCTGACTGACTGCACTGAGGAGGCTTACCTCCTAGCCTTTCTCCCCTGGGGGTATTTGTGGGATGTGGTCAAAGGTCGAGGAGCCGGGGGACAGGTGCCAGGAGGAGGGACATTCCTGTCCCACCAGCTCCCCTCCCAGCTGCCGAGCCCCTCCTCGCCCTCGGCACCAGCCCTTCTTCCCAGACCCTGACTCAGGTTTCCCCCCAGGGGCCCCTGACACCTCCCACCCCCACACTGTTCACCCACCTCCATCTGCCAGAAATAGCCTCCAAACCCCCCC